ACCTTGGACTTTGCAGGTCACCAGCACCGGCGCATACCTCATGGAACCCATACGCGCCCCATCCACACTACGCCCTGTACCATGAGGACAGCGCTCCTTTGGGGACGTCAGTGTTCCCGACAAAGTTTCCCAAGACTCACATCCCGCACATTAAATCGCCCATATGTAAACCCTGCTTCTATTCGCAGCCGATTCGCAACTCCGAAATTCAGAGGCAAAACAATACTATGGTCTGGCGCAGCGACCGGGGCTGCGGGCGGCACATTACTGAGTTCTCTTTCGTTTGTAGAGGTAGCCAGCAACAAAGCTAGCAATGGAGAGCAGACACACGAAGAAGCAATGCTGGAGGCATCGAGGAAGGAGCTGGATGAGCAAGTACCGCATGCGCTGAGGAACTCTGCGAAATACAGGCGGGGTATATACTTTTTCTTCGAGGACTACATAACCGAGCCCATCGCCACTGGCCTCCGCTTCCTACATTTGGTCATTATCTTTGTTCCGGTCATAGTGACTATACCTGCGCTATGGCTTGGCTCAAGGCAGCCTGATAGAGATAACGAACGAAGTGGGACTTTGTGGTGGTACGGCTTCTTGGTGGGGTCTATGGAGAGGGCGGGAGCTGCCTTTATCAAGGTATGTTGCCACGTTTCGTATCATTCGACGCATGGTGAAAACTGACTTTCTGTAGCTGGGACAATGGGCGGCTTCGCGAACGGATGTTTTCCCGACCGAGATGTGTCTGATCATGTCAACGCTCCACTCCAATGCACCGGCACATTCTCTAGAAGTAACGAAACGTACCATTGAAGAGGCCTTTGACGGAAAAAAATTCGAAGATATATTCGAAGAGTTTGACGAGAAGCCGCTAGGCGTGGGTGCGATCGCCCAGGTTTACAAAGCGAGGTTAAAGCCGCATCTTGCGACACTGAAGGAAAATGCAAGTGATCACGAAGAGCCCAACTTGGCGCGCAGGATAAAGAAGAATGTCGACGTAACACTGAAGAGCACGCCATCAAGAGTACCGTCAGACCATGTTGCTATCAAGGTTTTGCACCCCAAGATCGAGAAGATTGTGAGGAGAGACTTGCGAATCATGGGATTCTTTGCGGCACTCATCAATGCTATACCTACCATGGAGTGGTTCTCATTTCCAGACGAAGTACAGCAGTTCGGCGAAATGATGAGACTACAATTAGACCTGCGAATCGAGGCTGCGAACCTTACACTTTTCCGGAAAAACTTCAAAGACCGAACAACGGCCTGGTTCCCTTACCCCTACACGGATTACACGACGCGCAATGTACTCATCGAAGAGTTTGCCCAGGGAATCCCTCTGGAGGACTTCTTGCAAAATGGAGGCGGTGTCTTTCAGAAGGATATTGCAGATGAAGGATTGGATGCTTTTCTGAACATGGTTCTTATTGACAATTTCATCCACGCAGATTTGCACCCAGGGAACATTATGGTTCGATTCTACAAACCTGAGCAGCTCGACGTTTCATTCTTCGCTAGAAAGGAAGACCAGAAAACAGGCCCTAAGGAATCCCCTGATGTTACTGAAGAAGTACTGGAGCGCCTAAGACCACACAAGAAGAACCCCAAGCAATGGCAAGCGACGTTGGAGCAGATTGATAGTGAAGGCTACCGACCTCAACTCATCTTTATCGACACTGGCCTAGTGACGGAACTGAATTCAAAGAACCGCACTAATTTCCTTGATCTATTCAAAGCTGTTGCAGAGTTCGATGGTTACAAGGCAGGCCACTTGATGGTAGAGAGATGCAGGCAGCCACAGGCCGTCCTGGACCGCGAGGTGTTTGCTTTGCGTATGCAACACTTGGTATTGGGAGTCAAGAGCCGTACTTTTGCCCTCGGCAACATCAAGATTGGGGATATCTTGAACGAGGTCCTCTCAATGGTCCGGACACATCACGTTCGCCTCGAGGGCGACTTTGTGAATGTCGTTCTCAGTATACTTCTTCTAGAGGGTATTGGAAGGAGCTTGAACCCAAATCTGGATCTGTTCGCAGGGTAAGTTTTGGCGCTGGCGTTTCCGAATCGCATACTGATTAGCAATAGGGCACTTCCTATTCTACGACAGCTAGGCGCGCAAAGTGGCTCATCTATGATCCGTGGGGGTGACTTTTCCATGCTCAAGGTCTGGGTTGGCCTTGAGGCGCGTAGCTTCTTACAAGCTTCGATTGATACGGTACGTGTCTTGGACATTTTATTGGAGTTCATTGCTGATTCTTGTCTAGGTGGAGCGATATGTCAAGTCCGATCAACTCTCGCCGAACATATAGAGCACGAAGGTGTATTATTACATCGCAGTTATTTAATCACAAGAAATCACGACTCATACATACTGTATCAACTGTCCTTGTAGCATTGCTTTTTGTAACTGTTTAGCACTATTGCAGTGTCTGCATCCATCGCGCTTCCACGTGAAAGCGTATCGGAATTGCAGCTGTGGCTGTGAATGGCGGGTGTCGGGTGGCTAGTGTCTCCTGATGTGACGTCATTTCATGGGGTAGCTTCGTGTTCGTAGCTATACAACACCACCTGTTGCCAACACACCAACTCACAATCTTACATTATATATCGGAATACGTTCAGGAACCTTTCGATATCACGTCAATTACTTGTTTTCTTTCGAATCAATCCCTAGGCCTCACCTACTGCAATGGAAGCCGGGGCAGCTGGAGTGCTCTATGCAGCTGAGAACCTCCTCGGAGGTGCTGTAGCCCTCGTCAAGGGCATGAAGCACCCAACACTACCTCTCAAAGCCAACATCACACGCATATCATCTGTTCCGCTCCCGCGATCGCACCACACAGTCTCGGTAGTCAAGGGCCGGGCCTACATCTTCGGTGGAGAAACCGAAGCCGGCACGCTTGCAGACAATGACATGCACGTTGTAATTCTTCCGTCAAGCGGAGTACTTGACGCCGACTATACAAAATATCCTGCTCGATCAGCAAATGGCCTGGACGACGTACCGAATTCGAGAAAGGGACACACAGCAACTGTGATCGACGATCATATCTACATATTTGGTGGTGAGGGAGAAGGCGTCACAGACGAAAAGGGAAGAGTATGGGTGTACAACACGGTATCGAATACTTGGTCGTATCTCGATCCGGCGGTAGACACGCTATATCCCAGCCATCGATCAGGCCATGCCTCGGCGAGCTCAGATCTCCCAAGCCCAAAGACTACGACATACGTTGAGAAGGCACCGCAAGCACCCGCAGATCCTGCAATGAACGTGCCAGAGCCACCTGAGTCGAACTCGTACGGTACCATCTTTATTGTCGGTGGCCGCGACATGGCAAAGAGTGAACTCTTAAGCGACGCATTGGCATTCGACGTCAAGGCGCGAACGTGGTCCAATATCCCATCACCATCAGGTCACCCACGGGAAGGTGCAAGTTTGGCCCTGGTTGGAAACCGCCTATATCGCTTTGGCGGCAAAGGTGTGGAAACCTTTGCCTCTGGCGCGATGGAATCTGTTGACGCTTCCCATGTCTGGACACACGCAGAACGTGGGACTACGCCAGTATCAAGCGGCTGGGGCTGGGAGGAAGTGAAGAAATCAGACCGAGAGGGCAGCACCGCTGTAGCACCTCAGGCACGCTCATATGCAGGGCTCGTGGGAGTCACCACGGGTCAAGGACGGTACTACCTGCTGGCTATTGGTGGGTTGACAGAAAACGAGGAGTATCTTGATGACATATGGGCTATGCAGCTCGCCCCTGAGAAATCGACAGCCGCAGCAGCAAAGGACAGCATTCGTGCGCACATCAAGAAGGACACACATGAGTCGCAATGGGCCGAGGTGATTTACCGCTATGTCGATACAAAAGGAGAAGAGGAAAAGGAGATACCAGGAAAGCCCAAGAGGGGGCTTGGCGCACGAGGCTACTTTGGTGTCTCGAAGGGTACCGAGGTTGATGGAGCTACAGCTGTCGTGTGGGGCGGCGTTGATGCGAACGGCAAGGTGCTGGAAGATGGGTGGATGATTACTGTGGACAGGTGAGCCGCCATTCTTTGCGCGCCAAAAATATAAGTATGCAAACAAAGAATACGGACGCTCAATTGAATAGCGAATGAAATTGCAACGTGCCAAGGAGGTAGTAGCTTATGCGCTGAAATTATGTATGCATATATCGATCATTCTCACCCCTTAGCGCTACGCTATGCAGGTGGTGGTTTCCTGGGGATAAAGAATAGATGCGCCTGACCATCGCGTGTCTTGTCACATACACGCTGCACATAGCCGATTGTGTCGCTCATCCTACTCACCTGCTCTTGGATCGCCCAAATCGCGGCGAAATAGTGCGATTTTACTTTGAAGCTCATCTTCAACTTTTTGACTTCTGAGGCGCCAGGCGGGAATACGGCCAATAAGCTCGCGCCGCTCTGACCTTTCCAACGCCCCGCCACGTTTCATACTACCGCCCGTCACGCCGACAAGCGAGCCGCATATCTTGGTATTCACCTCCTGGACGGTTTGGACATTGGAATTGGCCATGGGATTTCCGCCTGAAACATCAACTCCACCCTATCAGGAATGTGACACCAAGCACCATCTATCTTCAGCTTGTTCGCTGCAGTGCAGACCCACGTGCAACAAGTAAGGGCTTTTGGTTAACATCCAAATGCACCTATATTTCACAAGCCCAAGCGTCGATCCACTGGCTGACAACAGTGCGTGAGTGCGTGAGTGGGAATGACGGTCAGGCCCGGCCCACTCAACCGTGGTCAAGGCGAAGGACATGGCCAATGGGTATTATCCCGTTATGCGCCGACATTGTGCATCATGGCGAGCACGGTGGTTAAGTATATCTATGGTCCTGTGTGGCGCAGCCCAAGGAGCACGATCTCCGGACGAATATCTCAGTTACGCGGCTCTTAAGGGGCACAGAGACCAGCAGTCCTTGCAACAATCAGACCGCAACAGAACTGCGGTTACAGCAGACTCGGAAGAACTCTCCACCATGGGTTGGGGTGACATTGGTAACATTATCGGTTGGGGTAAGTGAAGAACAGGTCCCTGAGACGACATCAGAATAGACCAGGCTGACCACGTATGAACAGGTGGAGATTTGACGCTAGTGAATGGCTCGCCATTTGACTGGACAGTGGGCTACCAGCATTCATACCAGATGAACACATGGAACTGGCCGACTGTGAAAGCAGGTACGAAACCTCATCTACCTTACGCGTCGAGACTGCTCATACAAGAAAACAGGAACCGCCGAAAAAGTCCATCTCGAGTTTGGACTAAAGGGACATACTTGGGATGATGCAGGAGAGGCCTACTACAATGTGGATGGAACATCAAATAAGTTCACAGTCCTGGCACGAAAGCCATCAGACTACGAGCTTACCATATCACTGGACAATATGCAAACGGAGCAAAGTCCCAACATGACGAAAATCAAGCTAGGATTCCGAAAGGACGCGGCGGTAAACTGGATCATGTCTACCGATGAGGCCGGAAAATTCTGGACTAACACTGGATCATACGCCGACTGGATGCAACAAAGTATGGGATCGCTAGCGAACAGAACACTAAGACATATTTGCATGCCTGGCAGCCACGATGCGGGAATGGCTACTTTCCATCCCGGCACTGTTGGCGCACATTTTGCAAATACGCAGGCGCAATACCTTAACTTCTACGATCAACTCATGGCTGGATCGCGCTTCTTCGATCTCCGCCCTGTATTCTCCAGAGGCCAATGGGTAGCTGGTCACTACAGCGCCGTAGCTGGCGTTTGGTTCGGCGGCAATGGTCAGTCGCTCAAAGACATTATACAGCAAGTCAATGACTTTACCGCCAACCACAAAGAACTTGTCATTATAAATCTGAGCCATACGGTAGACACAGATAGAGACTATCAAGACCTGACGCAAGCCCAATGGAACGACCTTTTCAACACCTTGAAGCAGATCAACAACCGACACATCGTCAACAACCCCGGTGGAACGGACTTCTCCAACAAGCGCTTATCCGAATTCATCACCGACCGCGCTGCAGTCTTCATCATGGCACAACTGCCCGGGGGCATGCAACTTGGCAATTTTGCAAACGAGGGCTTTTACAGCGGCGGCAACTTTCCTTTTTACGACGAATACAGCAATAGCAATAACCTGGATGTCATGAAGAAGGATCAACTAGCCAAGCTCAAGCAACAACGTAATATTGTTGCCGATGCGCAAGCAAGAAAGGATGTGTTTCATGTGTTTTCTTGGACACTGACGCAACAGCCTGAGGATATCATTAACTTTGATAAAAGCATCATGTAAGTCACGAGCTCCGCCTATACTTTGTTTTCCCTTACATTTCACGTTTTCCTTCTTGCAAAAGCTAATATTTATTCTAGGAACATGGCTACCGGCGCCTTTGACGACCTCATCAGTACCGCCTGGAACTCGTTCACACCGCAGAGCTTTCCCAATGTGCTGTATGTGGATAGTCTGGGTGTGCGTGACAAGAGCGCCATTTTTCCGTTTGACAGAGTCAAGGGCAGCTTGAACACAAACGTGGATATTGCGGCTTTTGCAGTTGCCGTGAACAATGCTTTTGCGGGCAAGAATTCCGTTGTTACGGGGAAGTGAGGAGTTGGTTTGCAGAGAAGAGAAGGTATGGCGTGCATATGTGTCATATGTTACTGAAGTCGGGGTACGTGTTCTGTGACGACGTTCTGATTACTCATAGCGTGTCCTTTTGCCTTTTTTCTTTTGTTTCTGCGAACTTGCATCCATATGGCAGCTCGGCGTTATTTGATAGACTAGTATGACGTATTAATCTCTTTTACCTTCTGAGAATTAAAAAAAAAATATAGAGACAAGTTATTTTAAAAGAAATAAGATTCATCGAATAAACGTGGGATTGCACAATCAGCCAAGTGCCATGTGGTGAAGAACTCTATCGCAAGTCAGATGACCTGGTGAAGTGGTGTACGAGATTACGACGCACAACGTAGGTATGATTAGAGTGGACCATAGACCGACCACATGTGTTGTCAATGCTGTGTAGCACCAGATAAGACTAAATTATACTTGCTAACCTCTATCAGGAGATGGCGTAGTAAATGTATTCGTACTACTAAAGAATACCCAATTTGTGAGAAGGCAATGACGAAGCACGTTATCAAGTGCCTCCCAGATCCAACGCTGGCAGTTGACGCAGCTGATGCAGCCTTGCGCATCCGCGGCACTCTTTTCGGTCAGCGTGAGTCCGTAAAAGGAAATCAGACATGTGTCAGACGGGATCACAAGCAGGGAAAACAAAGATTAGGTGCTTAGCATGGCGGGGTGTGTAGATCAAGATCGCTCCAGGTGCCGTGTCGAACATTGTTTTTTGAAACGCGTATGTTCGTCAGAATGCGCAAAGTATTTGGGTCACCACACCTAAATTAGCAAGACACATCGTGAGCTCTTTTGTTGTTTCTAGTATTCAGCCTCCATTTCACTAGGACTCAATGGTGGATTTCTAGGAAAACAAGAGGTAAGGGCGTCGCGTGTGGAGTGGCATCGCCGCTGATGGTTGTGGCTTGCTGTCCGCTAGTGCGAGCCATGACGTAGTGAACCATCGCAGCCTTCCGCGTGTTTATTGTTGTAATTATGAGCGCAAACAAAATTGCATTGACCTCCTACTCCTACCCTGTTCCTCCACCCTAGACTTCTCATAACATCTTTTTTCTTAAAATTTTTTGCATCAAAACATGTCGACCGGTGGTGTGGTCTACAAAGACCTGCTACCTATTCCCGATACGGATCCTACTGAGCATGAAGGCAAATCGGCCACGCTACGAGATGCACCTACGGACAGCCATGCATTAGCTCTGGACGGCGCCAGGGTTCCCCCTACAGAGGAGAAGGGTGCAGCTCAGGTCGAGCATCAAAAAGAGGTGGTGGATTTGGGATGGAATGAGCCAAAAGAACATGTCGCCAAGCCTCTCGTGGGGGGGCTCGACAATGAGCATGTATGGATGCTTGTTCGGCGTTTTAACAAGGTAAAAAGCACGCATTTTCAACGTGACACGATCTCATGCTAACTATTCATAGCAAATATATCAAGTTAAAGAGATACCGACAGCACCTCCCGGAGGATTAGACCTCAATGTTGCCGACGAAGAAGAGTTTACTCCGGACAAGTTTCGCGCCAATCTTGAGCGCCTCTATATGACTATTGTAAGTCCTCGAGACCAAGCATCTGCTACATGCAGGCTAACCGTGTTAGATCATTGGTATAATCGGATTTGCCAAGCACATTGCTCGCATTCGATCATGGAGAGAATCACGCCGCACTGCGTGGTTTTGTTCCGCTTACTTTGCTGCTTGGACCTTCGACATGATCGTGCCTTTACTCTCAGTCACTCTGTTGACACTGATCGTTCACCCACCTGCTCGCGAAGTAATGTTTCCTCCGGCCCCTATCGCTCTCGTAAGCTCCAGCGGAGGCGTCCAGAAGCCCAAATCAGGGACTCTTGGCAGCATTGACAGCGTCACTGGAGCGCCTGAAAACCACAAGGGTGAAGCTGTGGAACAAGAGGCCACGAATTTTGTTTACGGATTTGCTACGATTGCACTGTCAAGTGCGACTGGAAAACAACCTGAGGTCGAACCTAAAGAAGATAAGTCACCTGATGATAACATTCCAGATACCACTCGACTTGCCATGGGTGTTGCCCATGCCCAAGACAAAGCGTCCGGTAACAAGCCCGACAAGGACCATGATAAGACCAAAGTACCTTTGGAGACTGCTATGTGGAGCAAGATGCGGCCAATCATGCATGCGGTTTCCGACATTGCAGACACCTGGGAACGCTTTGCAAAGTGAGTGTGTTGCAATATGGAAAATCGATCACCTACTGACGATTGAACAGCATGCTTGACCCAACTCCTCCATTCCCACAAAACAAGTTTCGTCTTCGTCTTGGAGTAGTTATCGCTCCTATCTTCTTCCTCTCGATGTTCGTATCGTCTTATGTATTCATGAAGGGCGTCACATTCGGTATTGGATTCGGATTTTTTGGCGACCCAGTCATCCAACGAGGATTTGCGCTTCTTGACAGGAAATTTCCCAAGTGGAAGAAACTACTCGAACTCCGTAATACGCTTCTCAAAGGCGTTCCTACTAATGCTCAACTCACAATCACCTTGCTCCGTCTTGGTGAGGCGAACAAAGCTCCATTACCACCTCCACCACATATCACACATCCACCAGCAGAGCAAACCGCACATGTTGGTTCAGACGAACTTAGTGCTATGGGCGTAGACAGGGCACTCAATGCCACAAAAGAAGAACTCGACGACGCCATTGCATACGACCCCGAGGTGGGACACGAAGTGAGCGGCGAAGGCTCTGAAAAAGATGCTAAGCACGTCAAGAAGGGTAGCAAGATTCTCAGTTTCTTCCGCGGTACCGCCAAAGGTGCCGTCGAGACTACACGAGGCGCCGACAAAGTCAAAGCTGCAGCTGGCTCTACTCACGCAAAGAACAGGCTGGGTGCCCTCCCGCCTCGAAACGCCGATCTCACATCCGGCCCTGTTGAATTCAAAGCCAGGTTCGACGGCAAAAAGGGACACGCGTACATCGCTACTAAATCCACTATCCCCTGCATTGCCTTTTCAACTGACAAGACGATTGAGAAGATTGGCAGCGTCGATAGAGAGGACTTGCATCCACTGTGGAGTGTACCCGTCAGCGATATTATCGATATCAAGAAGGTCGGTGGCTTTGGATGGAAGGCCAAGATGGTGGTGGGATGGGCTATGGAACGCGAGTTGGCGGATGGTTTAATTATTACCGACTCCAAATTTAATGAGTACCGGATTATGGCGTTGCCGTTGAGGGATGAGCTGTTTAATCGGCTTATTGCTATGGGTGGGCAGAAGTGGGAGAGTTGGTAGGCGGTGACTGAGGGAATGTTGGAGGGAGGAAAACGTGGAGGTGCATTCAGGGCGTTTGCATTCCGGGGTTTATTATCAATTTGGGAGAATTGGGATGAGGATTGGGTCCTAGGTTTTTGGTTGGAAGTATATATCCTGGTAGTACGCATTTTATTTCCATTGCTTTGTTGAATTTCGATCTTTTAAGGGTGAACTAACATTCAAATATTAGCTAAGAATAGAGGCTTCGGAAGCTCAAGTATTCCATAAATCATGCCAGCATGCTCATTCCTACATCTCCATCATGATTTCAGACTTTTCTTATGGGTATCCCTATATTTGTCGAAATCAAAGATGGCAGTTCGCTGGGGATGATAGTGTCGATATTGAGAGATGAATTATTGCATAGTCTGTATATTCTAGAGGTAGTGGGCATAGTGTACTCGGTTGTAGAGCCTCACTCGATCCAGACGCGTGATACATGGCCGAAACGTAGTGTCAAGATATGATGTCATCAACGAAAACAGTTTCTCTGAGTTTATTTAAGTGGTTTCGAATTAAACAATGAAGCAAGATGTATAAAGTACAAGAAGGGTACCAGTAGTAAGAAGGTAAGTAGTAGCATCAAGTTTGTTTTTCTGTATAGGAGCAGGGATGGTGCAGTGGCGCAGATCTTAGCACCGGCACCCCTGCCAATGACGCATTACTTCCCGTCAATGCGGGACAACAATCAGGGTCTCGACGTCGCCTTCGACGACATACTGAGCACCGCCGAGCCTCTAGAATCGCCGCTGAGACTGACACGTGCAAGCTGTTTCGCCATCTTTTATTCTACGCACGAAGCCTCTCCCGCTACGATCGCCATCCTCAGCCCAACCCCTCTTTTGTTTCATTCGCAACCTAACGTACACACATCAACGTTGACTATGGCGTCCTATCTCGAAAAGGTGCGTCGGCAGTCAAAGCAGCTGTTCCCACAGAGTAAACAGAAGCCCGGACCGCCGCCGATCGAAGACCCTCCTAAGGTTTCTGAGTCTACGACACCAAAGGTAGAAGATGCCGCTGTTCCCAAGGTTGAAGATGCTGCTGTCCCCAAGATTGAAGAGCCCGCTGCAGCAGAGCCTAGCGGGCCGAGCGGACCAATTCCCGAGCCACCAGCTCCTACAGTTGCAGAAGCAAGCGAAGAAGTAGGCAGCGACCCTGTACTGGATCCTGAAGATCAGAAGTTCCTTGAGCGACTCGCTGCCATTGCTTCAGAGCCCGAGGGTACGCCTCCGCCTCTGCCTGAGCGCGCAACTGCAGCTGGTGATGCGGGTGAGGAAAAGGTTGGCAAAGATGCACAGGAAGCACTCATCGACGGTGCAGACAAGATTGCACTTCCTTTAAGCCCACCTGCGACAACTGCTGAGACTAGCGACAAGGGTAAAGGCAAGGCTACAGAAGGTGGCCTAGGTCGGAAAAAGAGCGTCTTGTCATACTTCCAGCTGCCCAAGTTCGGTAAGAAGGACGGAGAAAAGGCAAAAGAGAAGTCGTCCAAAGACAAAAAAGTAGTAGTTACGGACAAGGATAGGGCCCAATTCGCAGACGATCTCCAGGCCGCCGCCGAGGCTGCCAAAACCGCTGAGCTTACCGACGCCCAGAAGCAGGACAAGGAACTCACCGACATCCTGGATCAGCTGAACCTCTCAGCAGTCAACAACCGCGTCTTCAGCTTCAGCAAAGAGTCAGAAGAACTCCTCAACAAATTCACCCAAGTCCTCAAGGACCTCGTCAACGGCGTCCCCACAGCCTACAACGATCTCGAGAAGCTCTTTACAGACTACGACAACCAGCTCAAGAAGATGTACGCTAGTCTCCCACCCTTCTTGCAGAATCTAGTCAAGAGTCTACCCGCCAAGCTTACAGCTACGCTGGGCCCGGAGCTGATGGCTGCATCGTCCGAGAAACCCGGATTCGACGCCCAAGCAGCTGGCGAAGGGAGCAAGTTCAAGAGTGCGAAAAACATGCTGCCCCAAGTCCCGAGCTTGAAGTCCCTGCTTTCTGCTCAGGGCGCTGTTGCAACGGCGCTGCGAAGTATTGTCAACTTTTTGAAGTTTAGGTTCCCGGCGCTGGCTACGGGGACAAATGTTATTATGAGTTTGGCGGTTTTCGGTATGTTTTTTTTTCAATTCCTTTTGAAGCCAAAAAAAAGATTTACAGTGAACTAATTCATGTACGTATAGTCCTCCTTTTCGTCTTCTGGTACTGCCACAAGCGCGGTCGGGAAACGCGTCTTGAGAAGGAACGTCTTGCGGCTGAAGAAGGCCAAGCAGGCAATATCAGCGGCGCCCCCTCTGTGAACGGGGACGTCGACTCGATTTTCGGGTCTCAGATCAAGACGAGAGAGGGTGAGGGTGCGGCAGCTGCGACGCCCCCGCAGGAACCGCTTATTATCAGCGATGGTAGGGAGAAGGAGGGGCAGTCGGCGGCAGGTGTGAGTGACTTGCCGAGTGTGTCGCATCTTCCTGATCCAAACGGTGGAAAGGCACCGGCGGCGCCGCCATCTGGGGGGAAGTAAGAGCGTTGAATCGTGGATGAGAAAGGTGTTTTCTTCTTTTCGGGTTAAATTGATCATTTTCCCCTGTGCGTATACCCTGGTTTTTTTTTAGTAATTCTCTAATAAAAACAACCCAAATCATCAATCACAAGTTGTATGAAAAAATGTATCTGTTTTATTCTCATTTGTTTTGGAATCATACTTCTCTCTTCTTCACCTCCATGTAACCAAAAAAAATCCTCACGGCTTCCTCGCATGTATAACCACCACCTCAAAATACGCATGCACCTTCCTCTCTTTCACACCGTTCCGGAACTTGGCAAAGAAAACCTGCGCCTCCTCCACACTCCAGCCCATTACCTTGGTCAGCAAAAATAAGCCCCAACCTTCCGCTCCTTGAGTAATATGCAGCAGATTCCAGCGGCCCAGCTCCTTCATATGGGGATCCGCGGGCCAGCTATTCACAGGAACCTTGTAGACGTACTCCTTGACATCCTGGAACCCCGCATTACGAATATACGTTGATAAATTCCAGACTTCATAGAAACTCTTGCCGAAGCGCTTGCTGGCTTCGTGGAAGATATCGCTCCACTGCGACAGCACGTGCGTGGGCGTTAGCGTGCCGTCGTCGGATTTAAACTGGATTGACATTTCGAGCTGGTGGAGGTAGCCGCCTGAGGTTAGGTTGTGGAATACCTGTGTGTAAAGGGAGGGCCAGGAGTGGATGGAGCCGTATAAGGAGCGGATGTTGATGAAGTCGAAGGGGGTCGAGTAGGTCCAGGGGAGGGTTACATCGTCAATTTCGAATTTGCAGTTTGGAGGGGTGAAGGAGGGTTGGATGGGGGAGAGGTCGACGCCGAGGATTTCGGCGCCAGGGTGTTCTGGAGGGGGGTTATATGGTGTGAACTGAGTTTAATGGATGGTTTGTGGATGGAGGAATAGGCGGTGGCGTTATGTAAAAGGAGAAAAAGCAAGAGAAGACACACCATCTGCCATGTCCATGCACCAGATTCCTGTTCCGCAGCCTAGATCCAAGATGCGCTTGGGGTCTTTGATGGGTGCCAAGTGCAGTTTCTGACCTAGAAGGATTAAGAACATGTGGTGGGCAATGTCGAGTTGGTCGTTTTGGACTTCGTCGTTGGGGCCCCAGTAGTCGTTTTCGCCTTCACGGTACTTGTGGTAGCGGCGGCCATTTTCGAAGCGGCCCCTGTATATGGAAGAGGCTATTGATGTGGTGTCGCTGGCGGTATCGTCGTCGCCTAGAGCTGAATCTGTATCGTCCTCGGTGTTATCCTGGCTGTGTTGGAATGTTGCCACTGCATGGGGTTTTGGTAAGATGGACAAGGAATTCAGTCACTTACAACTGACACGTGAGGATTAATGAGTTGGGCATAGGACGATGGGCCTTCTGTGGTCTCCGAAGGCAACTGATGCTGTGGTGTTGGTGTAGCACGAGTGTCTACTCGCTTTGACGAGGAAGACGCTGATGGGGATGGTGAGACAGCGATTGACTCGTCCACAACCTCCCTCTCTTTTCCCTTCCCAGAACCCGACATTGTATCGCGTGCGTCCGTTTGGAATTTTTGGATGGAGCGTGTGCAGTAGGGGCACTAGGTTTATATGCTTCAAAATCAAGCGCTCTAGCAGCGGGTATCCCTTGTTTTACCACGTGTGGGCTGCCGCTACTGTGCCTCAATCGTACATAGAGTAACGGGCCGGGGTGGATTAGTAGACCCGTACTTACGATAAGCGAGTCTGTCAGTGGCGCTTTGACTTTGACTTTGTTCGTTCCTTGATGGATGGGCTCTGGTGGCAATATAAGTGCAGAGGAAGCTGAGTGCAAGAATGAAAAAGAACACTAAAAATACGCAAGAGGCTGGTGGAGATGGACATGTAGAGGTGGTGTAACGATGGTGTGCAGGGAGCCCCTGGAGGCCAGAACATGAAGGCTATGACATTGCGATGGCGTCGGCTATGGGGAGAGGGAAAAGAAAAACGTGGCTTGTGGGATTCTGGACGCGAACATGCTGCGGACTGGACCGTTCTGGATGAAGGTCCTCGGGGATTTGTCCATGGAATGTGCATCAAACACGTCGAGCGGAGTCACTTGTGCAAGGCGATTCGTTGGAACGGAGCGGCCAAGGCGGGGCCTTTGGATAATGGCCATGGCCCATGTGGCTGCGTAATCAAGCGAATAGTATGAATGTAAGGTCTTTGCGTGCATCTGCATTTGGGTTGTCCAAACGGTTGTCGCCTTTGCACACCCTTACAGGATATGCGTATTACATTTGTACACTACACATGCTATGTCCATAGTACACACTCTACGCAATACTTACAATTGAGACAGTGGCAGCACAACGCTAATGCCGACCACTCTGATGTGCACCATCCCAATCCATTAATCTACTATCTTGGCTAGCCCCCCGCTACTCTCTGCCAGGGACCAGACATGCCCTCTCCAACTTTATTCGGCGCCGGCGTGTCTCCATGAAAGCTTCCCAGCTCGCCGCCGTCCCGTAGCTTGCTTCTTTGGCGTCTTCTCCTGTTGTCGACCTATTCGCGGTCCGCCACAACACCAGCCCACTCTCCAAAAACGCTGCAGAGTATCGGTACTCCACTCTTGTGATCTTTTCCATACTCCACTCTGCATTGCGCTGCACCCTTCGTCACACGGGTGGGTGCCCCACCGACAACGCCAACTCGTCACTTCCATCAGCTACCAGCAAAAGTAACGAGCACATCCTTGCCTGCCATCTCCACTCCTAGCTGGCCATGGACAACGCTGCCGAGGGTTCTTTGCTTGATAATGTCTCACTGCGCCTGCAGGCCATCGTATTCGTCCTGGGGTTTCTTTTCGTCATTGGCCGCATCCGCCAGTACTTGCGTCTGAGACATTTCGCCGGTCCCAGGACAACGGGTTTCTCTTGGCTGTGGCATTCCAGAGCTGTAATCGGCGGCGAATCCCCTAGGTACTACGGCCAAGTATGTGAAAAATTCGGTATGCATCAATCGCATCGGATCTGGCACCGGACAAGTCCTAACTCTGTTCGATATAGGATCGATTGCGAGAATCGCACCCAACCACCTCATCACTTCTGACCCAGACTTCTGGATGCGCATCAACGCCGTGCGCTCCCCGTATAGGCGATCCCCGTGGTATTATCATGCCGCCCGCTTCGAGACGGGCAAAGACAATGTCTTTACCGAATGCGACAATGACCGGCACGACGCGCGTCGGAAAAAGATGCTTGCCGGCGTGAGTGAATTATTGACTTGTTGGTGGCTTCATCGCTAACGCATCGCAGTACTCTGGCAAGGAGAACCCGACATTGGAGCCTTCAATTGACCAGCATATCAAGGAACTCATAGACTTGGTGCGCAAATATGCATCCCCTGCGGCTTCAAAGGCCCCGTCGGTCCACATGGATTTGGCGGAGAAGATTCCCTTCTTTACGTTGGATGTCATCAGCCATGTCAGCCTGGGAGAACCATTTGGAGACCTGAAAGCCGACAGTGATGTTAAAAACTACATCAAGTCAAGTGAGGAAGGCCTGAAAATTGGTAACACAGCATTTGCCATGGGAATAGCCTGGCTAAAGGACAAGCCTATTATTGGGCCTGCCATTAGTCCTTCTGAGAAGGATACCACTGGGTTTGGCCACATGATGGCCCAGGCACGCAAAATTATTGTTTCCAGAAGCTCAAAGTCAACCGAGGAAAAGTCGGACATGTTTGCGTCCTTTGTCCGCCACGGCCTCACAGGAGACGAGCTCTGTAAGTGATGGTACTAGTCTAGGCGTTGGCGGATAGTGGGCTGATTGTTTTAGTCCAAGAGGTGTTTGAACAGATCCTTGCTGGCTCTGACACCACGGCCGCGGCTATCCGAATCATTTTGCTTTATCTTATGAAACACCCCCGAGTATATGCAAAGCTACAGGTCGAGATTGACGCAGCAGTCCAGAGTGGCAAAGCCCCAGTTTCTCCAGGTATCGTTTCGGATGCACAAGCGCGCCGCCTGCCATACCTGGGTGCTGTGGTCCGAGAGGGGATGCGGATGCAGCCTCCTGTTGCTAACATCTTTTCAAAAATTGCCCCTGATGAGGGGGATGTCGCTGTTATCAACGGGAAAGAATACTTCATCCCGGGTGGCACTTTGATCGGATACTCAGCCCTGACAATGCACCGCAACAACCGAGCGCTTTATGGGGAAGATTGCGCCATATTCCGGCCCGAACGATGGCTCGTTGATGCTACAGATGAGGTAGGTGAGGAGCGTTTGGCCAAGATGACCAAGACTAACGATATGATCTTTGGCTATGGTCGGTGGGTGTGCTTGGGGCGGAATGTTGCGTTGATTGAGATACACAAGGTTGTGTTTGAGCTGTTGAGGAACTTTGATCTGGCTTTGACGTATCCACTGCAGCCGTGGAAGACGTTCAACTCGCTTGGACTGTGGGACATCAAGGATATGTGGGTGGATGTAACGGTGCGAGAGTGAGGAGGCGGTTTCTTTGCCTTTGTAATGGCTGTCGTAATAGTTGACCAATGGGCTTGCTGCCCCAACGACAATGTACCAGAAGGGGAAATGCTGTATACTACTTGGAGGCACGGTTCTAATATGACCCAATGCACACATGGCAAGCAATTTACATCGAACCTGCCATGTACGCAAACCATGTTGAACCGCCCTCGAAGCCTGTGGCCGCGGCCGGACCTAGAGCGCAGCAGAACAGAGGGCGATAGTTGTCGACGCAGCATGACGGCCATCTTCGGCCAGCGTCACACCTGGGACGAATCCCCCACGTACAACCACGCCATCGGCCCTGCCACCCCACCGCTGCCCTACCATGGCTTTGCGCCCTCGCGCCATCATGTCGCCGCCCACCTCGTCAATATGGCCGGGTACTACGACGACGAGGCCTCCATCAATGCGCAACCGTCGCAGATGAGCGTCGACGGTCACCCGCGCCGGGGAGACTGCTACGCGCCTGATGACGACACGCCCAACAAGCGACAGAAGCGTCATCGTTCTTCCCCGCGCCCCCATGATGCTTGTACGAATGCTAGCCCGGCACCAGAAGCGCCATATGCGGGCCTCCCGCAGACTCCAGCGCTGCTCGCTGCTCATAATGACGCGCCCAGTCAACAGTATTTCGATATGCTGCCTCCTCAGGACTCGGTACACGCCTCATGGCAGGCTCTCCACGAATACGCCCAGTCACATGCCTCCCAGCATGGCTATGCCCTCAGTATCAATACAACAGCCAAGAACCGCTCTCGTATCAAGCTCGCCTGTGTCTGCTATGGCCAACCCAAGAACACGCACAAGTTGACTGCCGAGACGCGGGTCAGAAAAAATAGAGTCAGCTACAAGACGGGCTGTAAGATGTGGATCGAGGGAAAGAAGCTGGAGGATGGGACGTGGCTGTTGCGTGTTGGCGAGGCGCAACATAATCATCCTGGTCGAGACAGCGCGGGGTGGGCGGTACAACGGAAGAGGACCTGGGGTCTTGTTGGAGGGCGCATTGGCGTTGGAGGTGTAACAGCAAAAGAGGAACTTGCTAAACGGCGGCTCCCTGGCACAAACGATACTCTGGAGGATGTGGAAGCAGAAGGCGAAGGAGGAGACGACTACGCACAACCCCCATCACCAACCCTAGAGCCGGCCACACATAGTCTGGAACGTGGAGGTCTAGTCTGGAAAATCGTTGAACAAGAGATGCTCCGCAAGGGTAAACCGAACCAAGGCCGTGATCGCGGCGTAGGAAGAACCGTCGACGTCCTCCAACGCAGACTCCCCGGTATTCACATTCTCAAGCGCGACGTCTACAACATCCGCGCACAAATCAAGCGTGCTCGCAAAGCAGCAGGCCAGCAACTCGGCGACGGCTGTGACAGTTCAAACGACGAAGCTCAGGACCATGCTCTTCCTACTACTATTACTCTTTCCAACGGCATCGATCCTGCAATCCCACCAGAACAATCCCACCCACAGCCACACATCCAACCACCTCCCGCCGCCTTTTCCCCTCCTCCTCATTCTCATCCTCCTTCCACTAAACCCCCCTCCCCCGTACGAAAAGACTCCAGAATCGACCCCTCCCTCGTCAACACTCCACCACCACCTCTTCCACCTCCTTCATTACCCCCTTTACCCCCTCCTTCGCCTTCCCCAGACCCCCCAGCAACAACACTCCAAGTCCTACGCCTACGCCGTGAAAACGCAGAGTTACGCCGTTTACTCGCAGACAAGACCAAAGAAGTCAAAGAAAAGACGATTGAAATGGCGGGGTTGAAAAGTCAGGTCGAGTTGTTGAGTAATCTTATGTTGACAAGTGGGAGGGGGTTGATGGGGGGGTGAGATGGTTTGGAAAGTACGTTTCGGCATTTTTCTGAGATTTTGGATTTTTTTTTTGGTGAGAGTAAGAGAGAGTGAGATGTGGATGTGTGGATAGATGAAAGAGAGAGAGATGTAGATAGTTTAGATACCCCCACAGCTCAGCTTTTGGAAACGAGATTTTAGAATGAATATAGAAGAAAATTCAAATCATGGAAATTCTTGAAATATGCAAATAGGATTTCAATCAGAAACGGATATAGATGGAAAACCCAAGAAACAAAAAAAGGGGGGGTAAGGTATCTCAAGAAGGTGAAGGGAGGGGGGAAAAAACCCAAGTTCCCTCAGATTATGCGCCAACCAACAACACCCCCAAAAAGTAAACAAGGGAAACTCCCGGTTTTCGTGAAGTCGTAAGAACCCACCCGCATTAAGCCCCACCATAAAACACCCAAACTCGGCTCAGCCGAAAGAGAAAGAAAAAAAAACGCATCAATATCTATGCATCCTCCATTTCCTCATCTTCTTCTTCCTCCTTCTCGATACCCTCGGCATCATCGTCATCCTGCGCAGCGAGGAGGTCCTGTTCTTCACAGGATCGCTCAACTTCATCAGCGATAAACTGCTCGTACTCTTCTAGCGATTTTTGCACGTGCAGCTTGAAGCGCACAATGTCATCGAGCATGCGCTCGATTTCTGTGTGAAGTTCCTCGCGGAGGGCGTTGGCGCGGAGTTGGAGTTGTTCGTATCTAAGTCACACTTGTTAGTTTTGTCCTGGTTTAATGGGATAGAGGATGGTTTGGGGGGGGGGGCGCGGGGAGAAGGGTGGATGGGGAAAGAACATACTCGATATTAACGGCCATTTCGCGCTGAACCATTAACTGAACTGATTCACCAAGTCCGCTACGCATACGACCTAATTCCTTCTCCATGCGCTCAATCTGAGCGTCGGACTGGCTCTTTTGCGTGTTGGTGATTTCACGTAGCTTCTCTAGCTCTTCTTCTGCTTGCGCGACACGGTGGCCTAGGGCTTCGACTTCGGCTTGCTTGTCGTCCATAGCTTCTTTGATCTTGTCCAGGAGGTCGTGGTTGTTCATGTCGGCTTCAAGCGCTTGGTTGCGGCGCTCGGCGATTTCCTTGCGGAGAGAGAGGATGTTGGCTTTTACGGTGCCGCGGAGATCGAGGTTCAGGAGGTGGGCGGGGGAGTATCCTGTCCCGGAGTCGTGAAGGAGACGGTCGGAGGCGTCTTGTGATGAGCCGCCCATTTGGGAGCCGGAAAAGTTGGGTGCGTCCGTTATGGTAAGGACGAGTTCGTAATCTTGGCCCTTTGCGTTGACGGCTGTTGAGGGGATGACGCCGATTTGATAGCCAAGGTTGTTGTAGCGCTCAATAGTCTGTTCAAGCTCGTCGAGCTTTCGTGAGGCAGCAATCTCCTTTTCAGCAACACGCTTCTTGGACTCTTCGAGGCGTGCTGATGTCGCCTGAAGAGAAGAGTCAAGGCGGTCCCGTTCGTTGGCCATGCGGTCAATGTCCGCGATGGTCATGCCTCGGCCGTCAATGATGGCTTGAAGCTCTTGCTGCTCCTTCTCTGATGCCTCCAGCTCAGCCTCAATCTCTTCAATCGACTTCTCCAAGAAAGAGCATCGATCAGTGTACTTCTTGACCTTGGATTCCATTGAGTTGTTGTAGTTTTCAAACTTGACACGGTCCTCCTCCAAGATTCGGATTTGCTCCTCGAGCTTCTGTATCCGTGGACCAGACTTTCCTAGCTCCTCTATTTGATCCTGCAAGTACTTGTGCTCGGCCTCTAGAAGGTTGACTTGTTCGAGGTGCTGAGCGTTTGCCGCGTCAAACTTGGCGGCCATTGTCCTAATGTGAGGCTCCATGTGCTTCTTTTGTGCCTCTTCGTCATCATCATCGTCATCCGCTGATAACCAGGTGCTGTAAGCATCTGACAGGAAGTCGAAGATGATGCGGTCTCCAGAAACATCGAAACCTGCCTCGAAGCACGCATCATCGTATGTACCAGCCTCGTATGCCTGCATAAGGCGTGCGAGTTGCATCATCCAATGAAGCAGTCCCAGAAACGTGTACCAGTTGTTACCGCCAACAGCTGCAATTTGTGACTTCATAATGGACTTTTCAAAAGGGTACCGCATTTGCTTGAGCAACACAGGCACTTCTTGATCGATCGACTTCTGGAAGCGGTAGCTTGGGTCGATGCGGTTGTACAGCCATTGGAACATGCAGTTAAAGTCCTTCTGGGTCGGCGAAGTCATGGCTTTGTTTGAGAGCACATGTTTGGACTCCATCTCGAAGTTGTTGTGTGTCAGGTACTCCATCAGTTCCTGTGCCATATGCGAGCGCGTGCTTGGATCCTTGAGTCGTCGTGGATCCGCAGGAGGAACCGACGGCAAAGGTGCCGTCTGGAAGAAGGATTGCTTGATGCCTGATTGACCAGGTGCATGTGATGTCCGCGATTTGAATACACTGCTTCTCCGTTGTGCGCTTTGTTCAAAGGTAGGGCCTGAGGAGGATGCTGGTGTTTGGAAGATGGAAGCGCCTGGTGCGAAACTCTTGCGCGCGCTGCTTGCTGCGAAATTACTAGTCGAGTTGCGGTGTACTGACTGGAAGCCTTCGGCGAGATTTGTACCGGAAGAGGAGCGTTGAAAGAGTTGTTGACTGGGTCGACCAGGCGCGAGGGACATTCTACTCCCGCTCTGCGATCGCGCATGGTTCGGAGGGAACTGATTAGGTTGCATATTATGTACGGAGCTCTGGCGCTTCATGGCGGAAGCTGGCATAGGAATGGCGGATACGTTGTTGTTGACGGGGCCCAAAGTCTGCGTGTCGTGTTAGAGACGTCGAGGGCGGAAGAAGGAAGATGCGACAAGAGGGGGCCACATCATAAACTTACCTGGCGGCGCGCCGAGAACATACCCGGATCGGCCATGATTAGTATGAAAATTCAATTGTTTTGCGACTACCGATCTCTTGACAACTTAGTAGGCGAATACTGTGGTATACAGGTGCGATAGGGCTGGTGTTGATACACACACATGCAATGTTTGTTGTGATCAAGGGTTTCGCGCTAACCATGCGTAGCAACGCGCGACGCCCGCGCCACGTGGGGTATTTTCCATTGTTTACATTGCATCTCCTATGTTGACTTGGAGGACACAGCTACGTCATTTGCTGCACATCCTTTGTTGACCAGTGCTTGCATGTCGCTTTGAACAAGATGTTCCAAACATGCTGTTATTCAATTTACCAGGTTCGGCGCGTATCTGCTCGCCATTGCAACCCAAACAGCGTCAACACAGATATCATCAACCCAAACACCAGCCACTAACGACTCATAGTGGGACAAGTTGATCTGCTGGAAGCCCAGTTGGGCATATTTTGCAGAATCATCGTGGCCATACCGAGAGCACGTACAATGTGGGTTCAACCACTGGGTTGAACCCCTTCAGGGGGGTTGGTAATGGGCTCCTCCACATATGTTTATCGGCACGTTCCGCAGGGTACAAACCAGTTTGAAGTGTCGCGGCCCAACGAGCGGTAAATAGCGTGATGATCACTACTAGTTGCAAGATTCGTGACAGGCATTTCCCTGAGGTGTAGGTTGGGATGATGATAGATTTTAGCGTCAGGCACATCCCGGGCTCCTGTCATGTTCAGGAGTCTCGCCAAACTTGACTTCTCAACAGCCTCACTCTTGAATACGTCTAAGCGACTTGATTTGTATTTCTTCACTAGTCGGCAACCTGGTCAAGAAGAAGAGAATTAGTTTCGGGCCACCCTTGATTGTCATGATCGTCAATGCCTGAATCAACCCCCTGGTTTTCTATTATGCCGAATTGCAGGCATAATCCAGAGAGATTACGGGCGTGAAACGGTCGAAGGGAAACTGAATTGTCCTGGGGGCCCAAGCAAGATGATGTGTCGAAACAAGGCAGTAAGGGCTTCCAAACACGAGCCATGAACCGCTCGGAAACAGATTATTAGCGTTCCTGATTTTGCGATTCTGGGGTAGGGATGAGTCTAGTGTGCGCGACTACCAGTCGATCTTTGAGACAGTATCCTCTTTCCAAGCATAGTCAGATGATATACTGCTTTCCTGGTAGAGTGCCTTGTGACTGCTCTTGTGACGAATCTTGGGGTTTCGTCTTCTTTGTCTCATTCGGTTACCCCGAGACTTTTCTTGTCGGTACAACTGTAGATCAATAAAAGCAAATTGCCAGGCCCTGGGCATGAGGTCTAGAACTGGATTGCTTTTCGTCGCTTCCATGACATCGTTGACAGGAATGACAGATCCCACAAGTTTGGGTCGATCGCGATTGAGTGCTTATCATGTCGTAGTCTAGACCCTCCATAGCAAATACGTCAAAGGCGTACGCAATACAAGGACTCTGCGCACAACCAGCAAATGGCATGGCAGTTGAGGTCCCAATACCGTATTTTTCTTCACCTTGAATAAGCATTGGCAATGCATTTGAAAGCGCTTGCGCAGTGTGACGACATGCCGCTGCGAGTGTTTGCGTTGTGGGGTTTGTTAAGCTTCAGACTGCACGAGTTTCTCGTACGATTCCCCTATGGTATGATACAGGTGATTAGCGTTGAACAGAGAATTCATGTGTCAATGTTGGGAGCCAATGGTGAGACGATTGGTGCTTAGTGATGCATGGAGATTGTCGGCTGGTCGCTCAGAAATCAACAGGGGTTAAGCACGACGTGGTGAAGAATCGCGTAGGATAGGAATGTCAGCAATATGCATAGAAGGAATAATGGGTAATCCATGAAGGAAGAAGGCATTGAAGCATGCAGTGTGACGCAGTCGAAAGGTACGGTGCATGGTTGTGGGTGGGCTAGTCAGTGGTGATGGAAGCAGTGGGCCTTCGAGAAGATTACTGGAAGCGGAAGCATGGAAGCGTGGCTTGCCGTTTCCCAGCCACCGGCTATACGAAGGCTGTGATCTGAGCGCCTGCCAAAAACAGTAGTGTGATTGAGAAGATTGACGCGGAAAAGGCGTATGTCAATACGTCGCATGCGGAGGGGGCTGAGCAGGACGTATACGCGAATGCCCTCGGTTCCGCTGAAGGATGAGTAGGCGTGCCGTGTAAGTATGTAGGCAGTCGCGAAAATAGATGCTTTAAAGTAATATATTGATGCGGTATTGGAGTCGTCGTCGAGCTGTGGTGGCTTAGTCGCGCGGGGCTGGGCTCCATGCCGCATCTGGCAACCGGTCGACTCATCTTGTGTCGACCTGACACGGCGTGGTATGGCAGCGCAGCGTTGCGTTGCTACGGTGCCGCAGTGTGCATACTTAGTGCAGACAGCCATCGACTCGGCAATCGCATAGTTTTGTCTAGGGTACGACGAACACAGCGATGAAGTGGATAGCGGATACGTGTCGTGGGCGTAGGCAGCACTGATGCGCTGCGTCGGAAAAGGTATGGGTAGCGACATGCGGAGGGGCCCATGGGTTGTTGGGCTTGGCTCGTTTAGGATCGTTCGTCCATGAAGTGGTGCGCCAGTGCAGTGGAAAGGGCGGAGCGGGGACAAGGTGTTGAAAGCGCACGGCCACCGAGTCCCTGGTCGGTCCCTGGATCTGACTCTGGCTCTGGCTCTGGCACGACACGGTGTAGTAGTGTAGCAGCCTCTTGTTACGAGTCGATGCCCAGCCGGCGGCGAGGACGGAGTCGCAGTCTCCTGTCGCAGTGCGCCCGACGTGTGGAGAGGGCAAGTGACGTGGGATGGAAGCACGCAATTTCAAGATTTGCAATCGAGTATGAGGAACAGTAATGTGTTTGGGAGTCTAGCGGTTCATGTTCATGCAAGGCTTGCTAATTAGCGGCTTTGTCAGATGGCATTTTTCAGCACACATGACAAAGCCGACGTCTCCACCAATCCCGCGCGCCCTACAGCGAGACGCGGGCAGCAGTGTTTGTAATCGGGGTTTTAGATGTGCCATTGAGGATGATTGTGCGATGAGCCTGGACCGTGTCGTAATGAGACTGTCAGAGGCGGGGATGCGTGTAAAAGAGTGCAAGTGAGTGGCCGATGAGTGCATGTGACGTGCATCGTGGCTTCTGGTAGCTACTGAGCGTGAGCACTGTATGGGCATGCGTATAGAGTACGGACGAAAGTTGAATGGGTAACCGGAACCCCGAGTACCTAGGCAGCTAGGCACTGAGGTTACCAAGGTTCTCTGCCTCTGTCATACTCGTCGGCCGAGCAGTGCTTTTCCGCACCAACCGTGCCGGATAGGCGAGCCAAGGGCAGCCAGTCGCCGGTGTGGCTGGCCCGCCGAGATTGGCTGAGATGAACGTGTACACTACATGGTGGAGGCAGTACGAGAAACTTTAGGATAGCAGTCGGCAGCGTGAGAGTAATACCAGGACCGGCGCCAGTAGTAGACTCGGGCCCGAGCAGCCTTGCAACGCCCAACCGTCTACTAGCAGTCGAATGAAGGGTGTAAGAGGCCCCGCAAGCAAGACAGTGATGGGGGCCGCGTCGCGACAGCCACAGATGAAGGGCTGACCGCTCAGCCTGTGGAGAGGCCCGTGGCTTAGCCTTACGACAGCGCATCCTGGAACCACAGCCAGCAGGCAGCCTGGCAGGGCTCCATCTCGCCCAAGGCATCCTCTAGCCGGACAGCGCACAAGGAGCCCGCCCCCTCCCCCCAAACAATGGCAGCAGGGTCTGCCCAAGGTGCGCAGTGCGAGGCGAACGCGAAAACGCCAAAAGCAAAAAGAAAAAGCTGGCAGGCAGACAGATGACAGGCAGCCAAACAGGGCGGACGAATAGATGATGCAATGGATGCCTCGAGTGGTGGTGAGTAAACGCCGACGGAGTAAAGAAACCTTGGACGACGGCGTTTAGCCAGGTCCATGTCCATCCATGTCCATGTCGACGACGACGTGCATCGACTACGAATACGCACTGCTCGGGCTCCGCGTAGTGACGGGCGAAAGTCTTTACGTCCGACGGAGACGGGCAGGGTATCGTAAGCCACACTAAGACCCCTGTCGCGCAGTGTGAATCATCCTCTGCTAGCTCACCGCATCCGTCCTTGCGCTGAGCACTGCTCGGCCAAGAGCGGTGGAAACACGCCAATAGCCCCCGCCCGCCCGTTATTCATCATGCTCGTCCTCCATGCGCCAGGGAAACATAAGAAACACGCCCGCCCGCCTTCTGCTGCTTTTGGCCCTCCACTACCAGCTCCACCAAACCACAGTACCATATAGTCTTGACATCACCTCGAGTAACCATCCACATCAACATCGACACACTGCATCCATATCCCAGCCTCGCATCACCTTCCCCCAACACGGCTACTGCACAACGGGTTCGTCATACCCTGGCCACTATCCAGTCACAACCAAACTGACTCACATTTTTTAGCTCTTCTTATACTTTGTGCCTACAACTTAACCAGCCATGCCTTCCTCATCTCACCTCCGCATCCAAACTTCCTTTGAGCCTTTCACGGCCGAGACCACCCGCTCCCACTTCGTCGCCGCACCACCAGCCAAGAAGCAAAAGATGTCTCTCACCCAGACCTACTACATTGCTGCCTCTGCTCGCTCCAAGCTCGGCAAGGAGGCATGCAGGGCCGACCACAACCTCCGCCTGCTCGTCGGACACGCAAACCTCCTCGACAGCCTCATGATCGAACTCCAAGACGCCGAACGCCAGCAAGAGCAGTGGTTCAACCAGACCATGGCCAAGGCCTCCAAGGCTGAGGAGCCCCGACACATCCAGTGGGCCGACAGCATTGCCGAGGAACTTGACGACGACGAAGACGACGACTCCTCCGTTTCCGACTCCGACTCCGACAATGACGACGACTTTGATATGATCCCCATGCCCCGTCGCATCGCATCCGCACCAGTACAAATCAGCACAATGGAGGTTGACGAAGACGACTCGGAGGACGACGACGACTTC